GTGGTTGCATAAACCAGATATTCACTCTACGTCAGGTCCTAGAACATAGACATACATTCAGACGTCCCACAATAGTAGTATTTCTTGACCTTAAGGCGGCATTTGTATCCGCTGATCGTGAGGTTCTATGGCAGTGTTTGTCACTGAAAGGAGTACCAAAGAACAACAATAACCTCATAAAAGCTGTCTACTCGAACACAACTGGTCGAGTTAGAGCCTATGGCGAACTGTCATCAGAATTGATTACCTCAAGTGGTGTTCGTCAGGGCTGTCCACTCTCCCCATTCTTGTTTAACTTTGTCGTTGACGTGCTATTAGAAATAACACTTTCATCAGCTAAACCTCCAGGAGTTGAACTTTTACCGAGAGATTAACTTGTTGACTTAGAATACGCCGACGACATAGTTTTATTCGGTGAAGAAGCTGACAAAATGCAGAGTCTTCTGACCACTATAAGCAACAATACATGCATGTTCAGGATGCGATTCTCTCCCTCGAAGTGCAAAATGTTACTTCAGGATTGGGTTGCATCGACACCTGAACTAATGATAGGGAGTGAAGTAGTTGAGCGTGTTGACAGCTTCACTTATCTTGGGAGTCTCATCAGCCCTTGTGGTCTGGTGTGTGATGAAATCTCAGCACGGATACAGAAGGCTCGTCTAGCTTTCGCCAACTTGCGTCATTTATGGCGTAGGCGAGATATCCGTCTAGCAACCAAAGGACGGGTTTACTGTGCAGCAGTTCGCTCCGTCCTACTTTATGGCAGTGAAACATGTTGATAAGAGTAGAGGATATTCGTAGGCTACTGGTGTTCGATCATAGGTGTCTTCGAAGTATTGCTCGCATATCCTGGGACCACCGGGTAAGTAATGCAGATGTTAAGAAACGAGTACTAGGTAGGGATGGCAAATCGATTGATGAAGTGTTGAAATTTCATCAGTTGTGATGGCTGGGACATGTATTACGTATGCCCAACCACCGACTGCCCCGACGTGCATTGTTTCATGGTGTAGGAGCAGGTTGGAAGAAAGCTAGGGGTGGCCAGACCAAAATGTGGCACAAATCAATGAAGTCACTGACAAGTAGACTGAGTCATGTTGGTAGGTGTAGACTACCTGGTTGGGATTGGCGAGATGATAGCAACCGATGGTTAGAGACCTTGAATGACATGGCTCAAAATCGTTTGCAATAGCGAAGGTGCATCCACTCTTTATGTTCTACCAAATTCTAATCTTCTGATTTCTTCATTTCCTTATCTTTTTTCTCTTTCCAAATTTATTTCACTGGATTATACTCCTTGAATAACATCTTCAAACCCTAATCTTTCACATAATGCTTAAACTCTTACTAGTTATACCACTATGGGATTTGAATGGACAACTGCATCTCTATGCTAATGTGGTATGGCAACTCGAACTGATGTACGTACGTACGAAGTTCCACGTTGTGACTGACTGACTGACTGACACAGTCCTCGTAATATGAAGTTAATTCGAATATATTCTTACAACAGATTCCTCTGTTATAGTGATCGCAACAAAATTTGTTTAAAACAAAAAAAACTCTTTTCATAACCTGATTTTAAGTTAACTAAAATTGATTAGAAAAACAAAAATAAAGATTTCACTATTTCATGACTGAACATAAAGTTTTGCAAATGAACTATTTTACTACATACATTAGAACAAAATTCTTTCCCTCCCCCTCCCCCCCCCAAAAAAACAAACAAACAACTAATCAACCACATGGGAAGTAAATACCACATTATTCTAAATGATTCTAGAATATACAATCATACTTATTTTTAACTTGAATGTATATTAGCAATATGACCAATATATTGGATACCTTTGTAATTCACAAACGACAGAGAAAGAGAGAATGGGTGTGTGTGTGTGTGTGAGTGAGATACTTTCACTGTACTTCCATTAGTAATTCTTATCCTCTGGATGTAAATCAGAGTAAAATGTTAATTATCTTTGATGCGACACAGATTTTAGTTATAATCTAATAAGTAATTAAGCAAGTCAGCATGTAATACTAATGCATTTATGATAATATAAACTATTTACGATATAGATATATATTAATGGAGAGATTGGTGATACTCCATGTCTTATTTAAACACATAAATATTGGTACAAAGAGGCACCAGATGCATATGCGTCACACAAATCTCATTTGATTTGTGTCAGGGCTGTGATACTGACCAGGTACCCAAACCTAAACAGGTGGTTTCCTTATGGGGCCACACCCGGAGACTTCGACCCAAAGGTCTGATCCATAAGGCAGTGGAGCATCGTGAGAAGATGCATTCCCATGGTATCCGGTGACCAACGATTGATTCATACGCCATCTGTTCCTTCAGGATACTGGATCCAGTCCATGTGCACCATTGGTTTTGAATCAGGGTTTTCCAACTTCCCTAGGTGGACTTTCCGTGATCTCAAATATATTGTCTAAAAATATGTTACAGTTAAATCCAGACTTCAAATTTACATGATGGACTTCAGAGATTTCTCATTTTCAGATTGTAACATCGAATACTGGTTTAATTTTTAGGACTAATCATCAAACTTTGAAGATAGGTTCGTATTATGTAAACACGAATTCTTAAAGTATTTAGCTTTGATTTAGTAAGTTACAAGTTGGAATCGCTTTCTATTCGCTTGACTTTAGGCAAATGTATAGTATTGATAATCTTCACATAAACATTATGGTTCGAAATCGAGTGCATAAACTTGTACCAGATCACTGAATTACACTTTAATCATAATTGAGCTAATGATTCCATTGAAAAAGGATTAAACATATCAGCATTTCAATCATCATAACTACGACTAAACTATTCAGATGACAATGGATGCATTAAATAGTAGAATACTTCTACACACAATTCACTACTTGATCACCAATCTCCTGTTGTCCAGTTTATAGTGTTGGCAGAATATTATTAATCATATTTTCAATGTAACCAATTTTTTATCCTTATCTCAAATGCCCTGGTACGGCCGAGAGTAGGAAGCGCCCACCCTCCCTCTCCAAACCCTCTCACATGGCCACGCGTATATACAGCCTCTAACACGGAAGTCCTACTCACTGCTTTCTCATGGAATTACTGTTGTTTACGAAATTGAGAGGACGAAAAGCGAATGTCCAACGCTTTAACAGGGGGGGTGGATACGGATGATCCACCTAGGGGAGATGGAAAATCCTAATTACAAACCAATGGTGCACATGAACTGGATCCAGTATCCTGAAGGAACAAATGGCGTATGAATCAGTAGTTGGTCACCGGCTACCATGGAACTACTTTTCCTTACGATGCTCCACTGCCTTATGGATCAGACCTTTGGGTCGAAGTCTCCGGATGTGGCCCCATAAGGAAACCACCTGTTTAGGTTTGGGTACCTGGTCAGTATCACAGCCCTGACACAAATCAAATGAGATTTGTGTGACGCATATGCATCTGGTGCCTCTTTGTACCAATATTTATGTGTTTAAATGATAATAATAACTATTTACTTTATGGTAAGCAGAGATGGATAGTGGCTAGCAGTGGAATCCAGTTTGAAACGCGTTTCGTCCTATTTGGGACTCGTCAGCTGGATGCACTTGCATCTCAGAGTTGATGTTCACTCTGGGAGTAACTTGAACCCAGTACCATTCGCTTCAAACGCCATCGCGTTATCCACTCAGCTACTGAGTCCTGATAACCACTTGCTTGTGCAATGGGATGAAGTTTAAATTCACTTGGTATTATTTGTTTGAATCTTCTCATCGATGTTTAGGACTACAACTGGTCAGTCTCTAATTGGCATATGTGCATACTGTGCGTATTGCCTCGATATACCTTAATTCACAAGCATGGTAAGCAGAGATGGATAGTGGCTAGCAGTGGAATCCAGGGCGCGCGTTTCGTCCTATTTGGGACTCTTTATGGTTACTTTATGGTTTTCTCTATTTTGTCAGCTAACTAACTCACACTAAATCTTGACTAGTCTTGATTGCTTCTAATGAGCAACTTTGAATTCTGTGAACTTTCATACATATCGTTGTTGTTTCTTATTTGAACTGGGAATTGACACCCTCAACTTATTAAAGTTTTCTTTAAATAGTATTTCTTGTTTTCAAATAGCTTGATGATGATACTCTGATGAATTTTTTCGTTTACTCATTTCATACTACTTATTCAAAGTACTAATAGTTTTACACTTTACCGCATTGAATAACCTATTTAGGTAATATATACATTAGAATAAATTCTATTGCTTTAAAAATAGGTTTGTGGTGGACTGAATGATATACACTGGTCATTATTGCCTATTGAGATGCATTGTTCAAAGTGATGATAGCGAAAATCTCAATTTTTGAACTCTTGTTTCAGGTTCCAGACACATATCATCTAATGTGGTTTCAGTAACTAAGTAGTGTCATCAGCCAGGATTTACACAATACATATAGTTTGTGTTGCGTTGTATCAAACTGTAACCGACGGCTGGCTTAGTAAATACATAGAACGTAATCATTTTGAAAACCTACTATCTCTATGAAGTAAATTCCATAAATGTTTGTACTTATCAACTGAAGATAACTCGAAACACATGAGATCGTACTGTTACATAGCTCTCTCGTTGGGATGTTCGGGTAATTACGTCGTGACGAAACCATAATTTATGGACGAATCCCGACTGACCTTGAGAAATTTTAGCAAATCAGAAAATAGTTGGTATAGAGTAAGAATATATTACACAAAACCAGAGAATCCGAGTGGATAAATGGTTTAAAAACTTTTGAAGGTTAGAAAGAGGCTCTACAATTCTGGAATCTTCACGCATATAATACTGAAACTCATCCATGTGACTCGACTTCTGGAACCATGATATGGTTACAAACGTTCTTTTAGCCTCGTCCACATTGCTCCTATATTGTCAAGATATCAACGTGTACGGTAAATTTTAAAAACATAACATTCAGTTTTTCTTTCTTTTCTGCCTCAGTTCACTCAGGAATGCGGCTGCCAATCACCTTCTGTAGACCGTAAAGCAAGTTTGGAATGCCTTCGAAAGTTAGATCCATTAACACTTGTTAATCAGCTGGATAGTATAAATGTGGCTATTGGTAAACATCGTTATGATGCTGTTCGAAAATATTTACTACCCAGATATCACAAACAAGAACCATTCTTAATAAAGCAGTCTACAAGTACTCGATTGTATTTCGATGTTCCATTGCAACCAGTTATTGATGGTTATCTTGTGCCTAAACATCCGGATCATATTTTTAATGAAAAAAATAAATTAAAACAAAACCCAGAATTATTGATTGGTGTTAACACCAATGAGGCAATGTTTTTCCTCCTTCCAGGCATTGCCATAAAAGATACGCAGTTCTTATTCTCAAATGGTTCAGTTATTATGCCTAGCACTATGGAGTTGGCTGGTAAGAAAAAACCATTTAAAGAAGGAGAAGAAATAGCCGATTTCTATTGGATCACAGCCACACAAATATTAGACGAATCTCATATGAGACCGGGTCTAGCGAAAATGCCATCATATTATTATAATTTACCACTCACTTCCAGTCCAAAACGAGGTTACTACGATCCGGATACCGTATACATCCACGATGAAGAACTTCTCAGACGATTAGATAAATTTGCCGGTGATTTAGATTTCGCTTGTCCAACTTTAAATTTTGCTGAACAAGTTGCTAGACTACCAGATGCTAAAGTATTCCTATATCATTTTAATAAACGTACTGAATCACTCCCTATGCCTAAATGGACAGGTGTCATGCATGGTTATGAAATTGAATATATTTTTGGTATACCATATGATCCGGAATTTTCAAAACAATTTTATAATTTTACAGATCTTGAAAAAATATTCAGTTCTAGAATTATGAAAATGTGGACTAATTTTGCTAAAACTGGGTAAGTCAACTATAATGTATTACGTAGTAGTCGTAGTGTTCTTAGTACATTATCAGTCGTCAGCCTACAGCCTTCCTATATAACACTAAGCATACAAGTAATCCCAGATTCTAAACTCCTTTCCTCTAGCATAACTTACCTGGTAAATTTGCTTTGCGGATATGTAAGTATTTCAGAGTAATACATGCTAATGCTTTAATATTAAACTCAAGTCACTCATAAAATTACAATGTGAAATATGATCACGGAAATCGTTATATTGACCGAATGTCATGGATACCAATTCATGCTATCTGAGTCACTTTGACAGCTTTCAAATATAGATAACGAGCTGTAAATATGGTTCCAATATAGTTTACATTGTTCCGCTGTTTTGTAGCCCGACCGTTGCTGCTACCTTGACGTGGTGGTCGGGCTTGCCTATCGTGATGATCCAATCGAGCTATGCTGGCTGGAACAATCGTTCCCCAATGTCCTACCATACCAGACAGGTCGGTTGAAGAGCGGTAAGACTAAAAGCAGCAAACCCAAGGTCCGAAGGCGAAGTTGTACTGCTGACTGTACAGAGGTGTGACAGCAGTAAGGTGTTTCCTTCAGACAACCAGCATGACAGCGATGCTGCCTTCCCACAAGGAGGGGTGGGGTTAGAAAAGGTCGGCCCTAAAAATGCACACCTCGCCTTATCCCACGGATATCCGTCTCCGGCGGTAAGGTTTTTTTGAAGAACGGAGCTAACACAAAAGCTACCCACAAAAAGTCCGTGCGTGACCGACCTCAAGCAGTTGTCCCTTGGGCACTGCGGCCACGCTCTCAGGTCATTAAGACCACTTCTAACCCAATTTCCTTTTCAGGTACCCCCAGGAGAACCCTTCCACAGTGTGGGCAACCGGGAAGTGATAACGGCCCTCATACCTCTAACAGCACTCAAGACCACTTTATTCATAATCAATCTCCTTCAATTCCTACTATTCCTTCTACCTTGACTTTCAACACTAAACTTCCAGTTCCGGTTTCCTCCTCAAGTGTCACCATGGCCAACGATTCTAGTGCGCGAAACGCTGTCCCAGGTCTACTAAAACCTCGCTCCAAACTTCACATTGGAGCCTTCAACGTACGTACCCTATGCCAAATCGGTCAACAGGCCTCCTTAGCTAAAACCCTAGAATCTCGTACCATTGATGTATGCTGTGTCTCCGAAACACGCATACAGGATCCCAGTGTGGTCATTCACTTGACCTCACCTCGCCAAAATGGACAACCGACAAAATACACCCTCCGTGTATCTGGCGACCCGTTGGCTAGTTCTCGCGGACTTGCAGGTGTAGGCATAGCACTAAGTACAAGGGCAGAACAGGCACTACTAGAATGGATCCCCGTTAACAGTCGTCCGTGTGCTGTCCGGCTAAATGGCTCCGTAAGAACTCGGAAGGATAGGGACACACGTCGTTGCCTTTTCGTCGTTTCTGCCTACGCTCCCACCGACTGCAGCCATGATGAAATGAAAGAAGACTTTTACAGAAAGCTCTCTGAGCTTCTTCAGAAAGCTAAGCGCTCAGACATAGTACTCATAGCGGGTGACTTTAATGCCCAGGTAGGCAGCTGTTTTGTAGTTCAAGCCAAGGGTTAAGTTTATATGTTCATAGTTCACTCTGATCTATGAGCGTATCAAGCACATTATTCAAGTTCTAATTGTAGTTCATTGCTGAGACAAAAGTACAATTTATAAACATTCAATTCGTTCACCACATGTGTATAACCTTAGATTTTTCATGAATCTAAACTTGTATCAAAATTTCGAGAGGTATATGTACGTTCAGTAAATATATTGTACGTGAAATCTATCGTCCGTCTGCAGCGCTTCTAGGGATACTTCCGGTACTAAGTCCGGATAAAGAAAGAGTGTTTGACAAGGGGTCAGCAACCTCATCCGGTAGAAAACAACTTGCCTTAAAAACCCTAATCGTAATAAACAAATTAAACCACTAAACCTCTATCCTCCGAGTTAAAGAATCTTCTATCAGGACAATTATGACACCTCATAATGAAAGCCGAGTCTCCAGAGGTCAAGAGGTCAATGTCCCTTCTAACAACCACAACAACAATTAATATAAGTACATGGAATATTCAAACAGTGTAGGAGACCTGAAAGACCAGTCAAATAGAAACAGAAATGAGGGGATATAAATTGGCAGTACTCGGGATCAGTGAAACCCGCTGGACTCAAGCTGGACAGAAAATGATAAATTTGGGAGAGATGCCACTTGACTAAGCTAATGGAGAGGAAAATGTTACACACACTCAGGGAGTTGCCCTTATGCTGTCCAGAGAAGCACGAAATGCACTTGTAGGATGGGAATCTCATGGACCCAGGATAATCAAAGCATCATTCAGAACAAAGAAGAAGGGGATCACAATGAACGTTATCCAATGTCATGCACCCACCAATGATAACAACGACGATGATAAAGATCAGTTCTACGAAAGGCTGCAATCAATTATAGAAAAGTGCTCACGAAAGGACCTCACCATCCTGATGGGCGATCTAAATGCTAAAGTTGGAGTGGGCAACACAGGATATGAAGATATAATTGGACGACATGGACTAGGAGAGAGAAACGAAAGTGGGGAGAGACTTGCAAATTTATGTGCATTCAACAAACTGGTTATAGGCGGCACAATATTCCCACACAAGCGCATACACAAAGCTACATGGATTTCACCGGACCAAACCACAGAGAACCAGATAGATCATATTTGTATCAACAAAAAATTCCAAAGGACAATGGGGGATGTGAGAACAAGGAGACGAGCTGACATAGCTTCAGATCACCACCTGGTTGTGACCAAGATGAAACTGAATCTAAAGAAACACTGGACAACTGGACAAACAGCATTACAGAGGTTCAATACAGCCTTTCTTCGAGATACTCACAAACTCAGCCAATTCAAGATAACTCTCAACAACAGGTTACAAGCTTTACAGGATCTACTGAGAGAACAAGAAACTACGATAAAGGACAACTGGAAAGGGGTCAAATAAGCAATCACGTCAACATGTCATGAGGTTCTTGGTCCTAAGAAGCACCATCACAAGGAACGGATCGCTGCTGATAAACGGGATATGATTAAAGAAAGGAGGAACAAGAAGGCAGCAATCAATACCAGACAAGAAAGAGCATAAAATCCAAGGCACAGGCCGAATATAGAGAAGCAAACAAGCAAGTGAAGAGGAGCATCAGAACCAACAAACGCAAATATGTGGAATATTTAGCAATGACAGCGGAAAAGGCTGCAAGAGAAGGTAACATCAGACAACTGTATGGTACAACAAAGAAACTTGCTGCAAATTACCATAAACCAGAAAGACCAGTGAGAAGCAGGGAAGGCAAGGTAATCACCAACATTGAAAAACAACGAAATAAGTGAGTAGAACACTTCAAAGATTTCTTGAATCGACCAGCTCCACTGAACCCACCCAACATCGAAGCAGCACCCACGGACCTCCCAATCGATGTTGGCCCACCAACAATTGAAGAGATCAGCATGGCCATCAGACAAATCAAGAGCGGAAAAGCAGCAGGACCAGACAACATTCCAGCAGAGGCACTGAAAGCAAATGTAGCAGCAACTGCAAAGATACTCCACATTCTCTTCAGTAAGATATGATGAAGAACAAGTACCAACAAACTGGAAAGAAGGTCTTCTGATCAAGATACCAAAGAAAGGCGATCTCAGCAAGTATGATAACTACAGGAGCATTACTGTTCTTTCAATACCAGTAAAAGTCTTCAACAGTGTGTTGTTAAACAAGATGCCCAACTTCGAGACCAACAGGTGGTATTCTGTAAGGATCGAGCGCTTACAGTTGTCTACGCAAAGTAATTCGGATCCGTTGGCCAGTCACTATCACCAACAACCTACTGTTAGAGAGAACAAACCAAATTCCATCCAGTGAATGAAGAAATCAGGAAGAAGCGTTGGAAGTGGATAGGACACACATTGAAGAAATCACCCAACGGCGTCACAAGACAAGCCCTTACATAGAATCCTGAAAGCCAAAGGAGAAGAGGAAGACCAAAGAACACTTTACGACGAAAAATGGAGACAAATATCAGAAGAATGAACAACAATTAGATAGAAGTAGAAAAGAAAGCGCATGACAGAGTGAGTGGGTTGGAGAATTCTGGTCGGCAGCCTATGCTCGATTAGGGGTAACAGACGCAAGTAAGTAAGTAATCTATCTTCTAGGCTTTTCATATGTTAGTGTAATTAACAAATATGATTTAACTGATTCATTCTCAAATTATGTATGGCAGTCATTTAGATAGTTTGAGAATATCATTCAATAAATTTAGTGTTGAAAGACTTAAATTAATTGACAGGAATCAGCATCATCACTCATCAATTAACTCTAGCTCTCATCCTCTTAACAATCAAGTTTTTCAAGTAATTCCGGTCAAAATGGCTGATTATTTTGAAAAGATGTAGAAAAGTAATAATGGTATGTCTTTGAGAAAAGTTGATTAGACAACACGTTACATACGAAAGAATTAAAGTCTTACTGTTTCCACTAACCAGCTTGAAATTGTATGATTACGAGTTTTCTGCTATGCAGTATGTTGTGATCACTTGTATAATCAATATTGTCTGAATGGATATTCTATAGAGAATATGTGATTGTACTAGAATTTTCCTACAGGGATCCGCTGATTAAGGTTCGATTATTCATAGTTTAGACAAAATTAATTACAGTGGTCTATCGGTTAAGTGTTTTGGCGCAAGACTGGTAGGTCCTGGGTTCGAATCTCGCGGGTGCGGGATCGTAGATGCACAATGCTGAGGAGTCCTACAATAGAACAAAACAGCCGTCCAGTGATTCCAGGATTTCTCTGGTGGTCTAGCTTTAATTGACTCACGCTTTAAACTATGGAGATATTATTTTATTGTTTGATCTTGTTTTTAACTTCATTAATTGTTTACACATACCTGAAACTATTTTGTTTTACTTTGTTTTCATTTTTAGTCATCCATCTAAGAGTAATGATGGTAAAATATCTACACCTGAATGGCCTTTGTTCAATAGCACTGATGGATTTGTATCAAACAACCCTGATTACTTGATTCTAGAAGATGAAACTAAACTTGGCAGTGGATTGCATCGTGATCGCTGTGCATTTTGGTTACATGAAATGCAAGACATGACAGATATATGGTATAATAGATGTGATCCTTCTAGTGGTGAGTTATGTTTTGTAATCTTTATCTGTAAAGCATAGCGTTCTGCTAATGTTCAGATAATCTGACGTTTTTTGTTATTATCTCTCTTAAAAATGAATAGAATACTATTAACAGTATATAAGAACTCTCGTCTAAATTAGAGCGAATAGTTTCACAGTATTTGAGCGCCGAGTTGATGTAAGACATTATATAGGAATAATATATTTAAGAAAGGAACGAATCGAGCGAAGAAACTTCTTTTCAATTAGTTTTTCATCATGGCTCTACACTAATATGCATTTATGATTTACCATAATTAAATAACACTCATGGAGTAGATACGTTACGTAATAATTATATAATGACATCGATTATAAACTAACATTAATTGGAAGAGAAGGATTAATACTAATCAAAGTTATTATTCGAAAATCAAGCTGTTGCTACGTTGCATAACTTATAAAAAATATAAGAAAGAACTAACAAATTTTTTGATGAATGGTCAGCAATATAGTAGTTATGTAAGAATCAAGAGACGAATGAAGAGAATAAGTAAAATACCAAATACAAAAAAATTGGAAGGAATAAGATAATTGTTTACCGAAACTATGCTACAAACTCCGCCATACCGATGGCCAAGGTAGCGAGAGTGGTTGAACAAACTTCTTTTGGATACAAAGGGGCGTACAATTCGGCAAGTTCGTCAACGAATAACAGAACACCATCCGTCATGGTTGACCAAAGGACAGGTAAAGGGGATTAAGAGTTCTATTCTCGCTCACTTGGTGGACACAGGTCATCATGTTGAACTGAATAAAGCTTTTAAGGTTATCTACCATATTCCATCTAATTTGCCACATGGTTTACGAGCTCGTCTATTGCATATAGCTGAAGCCGTCGCAATTCATATCCACTAACCGAACCTTTGTATCCAAAAGAAGTTTGTACAACCACTCTCGCTACCTTGGCCATCGGTATAGCGGAGTTTGTAGCATAATTTCGGTAAACAATTATCTTATTCCTTCCATTTTTTGTATTTTACTTATTCCCTTCATTCGTCTCTTGATTCTTACATAACTACTATATATTGCTGACCATTCATTTTGTTAGTTCTTTATTCTCATTTTTTATAAGTTATGCAACGTAGCAACAATTTGGTTTTCGAATATCTACTTTGATTAGTATTAATCCTTCTCTTCCAATTAATGTTAGTTTATAATCGATGTCATTATATAATTATTACGTAACGTATCTACTCCATGAGTGTTATTTAATTATGGTAAATCATAAATGCATATTAGTGTAGAGCCATGATGAAAAACTAATTGAAAAGAAGTTTCTTCGCTCGATTCGTTCCTTTTTAATTAACAAATGTCAAAATGGGAAATTTCACTTTAATAATATATTTGTAAAATCTCAGCGAATGAATTTGTAGGAAATCCAACTTTTCGCCTGACAATCTGGTCCAAGCTTTTTCAAGGAATTATAATCAAACATCAAAATTACTCATCACTTCACATCACATATATCTTAAACATACCTAGTTTAGACTTTTTGTTAACGTGGATTGGGTGATTTATTCAGTGTACAATGAAACGAAGAACAACGTACCAATAAATATTCGATAATTTTGATGTTTGATTATAATTCCTTGAAAAAGCTTGGACCAGATTGTCAGGCGAAAAGTTGGATTTAATTAAAAATACATTCGCTGATATTTTACAAATATATATTATTCCTACTTAATGACTATTAACAGTAGTTTATTATCTAAACTTATTATTGTAATACACATTTTGTTTTTGTTTCTGAAAGCTATCAATGTCATGAGATTCTAGTTTAACTAATTAAAAGCAGTGAACTAACTATTTAAAAACATTTTTATATGTTCATATGCCCCCGAATGCCGTGGTACGGCTGAGAGTGGAGAGAGTACGCTCTCCCATTCGAAATGCTCTCACATGGACATGCGTATATATAGCCTCTAACAGGGAAGTCCTACTCACTGCATACTAGTGGCATTACTGTTGTTTATGAAATTGAGAGGACGAAAAGCCCTAACTGGGTTGGTGGACACGAAAAGTCTGTAGTACCAGTTCATATGTTAGGCCCATATACTTTACTCTAGTTACTGGCCAAGCCAATTCACCTGTACATTGAGTCATCTTTTGATCTTGTTAATCATTTGCTTATTAACCTTGAGTACTTTTTATATGAGCGCATATGTGTACACTTCGTATCTTATTCATCATATGTCTGTCACTCATTTTTGCCTGCCTATAAATATTGATTAACGCTTGCTTAAAATGAGTTGGCTTCCCAGCCATCTCCAATACGCATCATCTTTGCTTCGCTTGCTTACAGTTGCTCATGTGCTTACAACTTTCTGGTCTGCATCGATTATCAATAAAAATGTAGTTGCCGCTTCCCTTTGCCTTCTGATATTATACACCGTTAAGATTGGTATTAATAACGGTTATCGAAGCGAACTATGATCGAAGCACGGCACTACAAGTCGACCTAGGGAAGTTGGAAAACCCTGATTCCAAACCAATGGTGCACATGGACCGTCTCTAGTATCCTGAGGGAACAAATGGCGTATGAATCAATCACCGACTACCATGGGACTGCATCTCCTCACGATGCTCCACTGACTTATGGATCAGATCTTTAGATCAAAGATTCCGACTGTGGTCCCCTAAGAAAACCACCTGCTTCAGTTTAGGCACCTGGTTAGTATCACAGCCCTCACACAAATCAAATGAGATTTGTGTGGGGCATATATATCTGGTGCCCCTTTGTACCAATATTTATGTGTTTAAATAAATAAATAAACCTGTGTTATATAACAACATAATATTTCTTGAGTATTAATGATGTTTTATTGTAACACTCTCAGAAGTAATAGTAATAATAATAATCATTGGAATATTTGTAATGTGTATTTCATTATCATATTTCCAAGTGAGTTAACTGTTTCCTATTCTTTATTCAACTTATACTTCCTATTCGTCATTGTTCACTTAGGCAAGTTAGAAAACCCTGATTACAAACCAATGGTGCACATGGACTCCAGGATACTGAGGGAACAATTATTTGTCACCGGCTACCATGAGACTGCATCTCTTTAAGTTGCTCCACTACTTTGTAGATTAGACCTTTAAGTCAAAGGCTTGGAGAGAGGCCCCCTAAGGAAATTACCTGTTACGGTTAGGCACCCGGGCAGTATCACATTCCACAAATGACTTGTGTGGCACATTCAATAGCAATAGATTAAGACTTAAAGTTCAGTTTATGTTTTCTTAGAAGCTATAGACAAGTTTAACATATATACGAAATGATCCACTAAGTGATTGTAAGCATATGTTGTTACTTAAATTTTCCTTTGAATCAGTACAGTTGTCAATCATATTTAACCCTTTTCCTAAATATTAACTTATAAGACTCCTTTAATAATACTCAATTAGATCTATATCATTAATTATCTTAGACATATTATAGTTTAATGTAATTAATCTATAAAGTGCAATTCGAAAGATCAAGGAAACTAAAATTAAATTAGAATGATTTCTGAATTGTTGCTCTGGCTACTAAACGGTAGCTAAGTGTTATTCAATTAATGAAATTAACGGATGAAATTAACATATAGCAATTAGAGACTGACCAGTTGTAGTCCTAAACATCGATGAGTAGATTCAAACAAACAATACCAAGTGAATTTAAACTTCATCCCATTGCACAAGCAAGTGGTTATCAGGACTCAGTAGCTGAGTGGATAACGCGATGGCGTTTGAAGCGAATGGTACTGGGTTCAAGTTACTCCCAGAGTGAACATCAACTCTGAGATGCAAGTGCATCCAGCTGACGAGTCCCAAATAGGACGAAACGTGTTTCAAACTGGATTCCACTGCTAGCCACTATCCATCTTCGCTTACGATTAACGGGATGTTTTTTTATCAAGTTTGTTTTCTATCTATTTAAATAATTGACTACATATTGCAATATTCCATATTTAGTTTCTGGTGATGAACATTTCTCAGTGCATAGAAATTTATTTATTTATTTATTTATTTGTACATATAAATATTGGTACAAAGGGGCACCAAATATATATGCGCCACACAAATCTCATTCGATTTGTGTGAGGGCTGTGATACTGCCCGGACGCCCAGACCGAAATACGTGGTTTCCTTGCGGGGCTACACTCGGAGCCTTCGACAAAAAGATCTGATCCAAAAGACAGTGAAGCATCGTGAAGAGATGCAGTCCCTTGGTAGTCGGTGACCAACGACTGGTTCATACGCCATTTGTTCCCTCAGGATATGGAGCCAGCCCATGTGCACCATTGGTTTGTAATCATTATTTTCCAACTCCACTAGGTTGAATTTCCGTGTCCACAAACCCGGTTAAAGCTCCGGATATTCGCTTTTGGTCCTCTTAATTTCGTAAACATTTGTAATGCCACGAGAAGTCAGTGAGTAATACTTCCCTGACAGAGGCTATATACGCATGACCATGTGAGAGGATTTCGAGTGAGAGGGCGTACTCTCCTCACTCTCGGACGTGCCAGGGCATTTGGAGGCTAGAAACTTATGTTTATTGAGGAATTCTTTAGATCGTAAACATTAGTTTTGACATCTTCCATTATTCAATTGAAACTTTAAAGGGTTGTATCTTTGTGATGCTGAGAAAGCCTATCTACATCAGATTGCTTTCGAGAAACATAAATATTACCTGGAAATGTGTATTCGGTGTTACGAACTAGTATAGAAATATAATTTACCAAAATCAACTACTTAACATGAAAACATGGCACATAAAATGTAGATTCATTTAGATTAATGTCTTTAATGTAACCTGATCGATAGAATCCGATCAGTGTTATGAGACTAAACAAATACGATATTAATTTTCGAATGTGAGGCTTCTGGAGATTGTAGTACACTTTTAGTAGTTGAATTCATCAGTCGATTTAAGCTAGACTACCACTGAGATACTGTAAGCACTGTACAACCATTTCCTCCCAACATGGAAATCCCCAGCAGTGCATGCGATACTCGGACTCAGTACCTTCGATCTCGCGAGCGAACTCTTAACCTTAAGCCAGACATTACCACAGTTAGATGCCGACTCGGTATTCTACAGGATTAGCGTTCGCGCGAGAAACCGAAGGTCTTGGGTTCGAGTCTCAAGTGCGAGATCGTGGATGAGCACTGTTGAGGAATGCTACACTAAGATGAAACGGCTGTACAGTGCTCCCAGATTTTCAGTCATGGTCTAGCTTAAATCGACAAATGAATTCTAGTATTAAAAACATATCATTAATCAAATTTTTCTGAATACAGACCCCTACTTGATGTCAGACGTATCTCAAATAAATCATTGGTAAAGGGTTCAACCTATTACGTTTTCACACATACGAGAAAGCATATTGGCAAAACACAATATGGAAACCATTATGAGTGCCTATATACTATTAAAATATCCGAATGCACGTATAATATATGAGCTAAGCGATAAATCGCCAAAAACATTACAATTGTTAAAGATTAATTGACTCTCCATAAGTCGATTGATGAGGCTATAAATCTTCTTTGACGGAGATGTCTACAAAATATATAACCCATAATTAACCACTGCCTTTCCTGACTAGTATTGTCGGGTGATATGAAGTTAAGTTAGAAAAGCTAAGGATAAGAATGACATCAGTCTATGCAATCATCGACCATCATATCGATGAGTGAAAATATTGTGGTGATAATCTGAGTAATTGATGTAGCGTCTAGTTCGAAAAGATGGTGACATTGAACAAAATAATCACAGTCTTGTAGTTATATTCATTCTACATCTCTTTTGGAGTCTTTTGTGGATATTATAGTAATTTTAACAATTGAGATCATGAGACGATTGAAGTTAGACCACCATGGAAAACCTGAAAACACTAAATGGCCGTCTCATCCTATTATGAGACTCCTCAACACTGTGCATCCACGATCCCACCTCCCGAGATTCCAATCCAGAACTTATCAGTCTCTCTCGCAAGCGCTCAACCTTTAGAACCACTGAGCTGGCCAGTATCTAACGGTGTTGATGTCTAACTTCAACCAATCCACGAAATTAAGCGACACATCCACCAATGTCTTCAGTGAGTTACTCTCTCACAACAGACCTGGCTAAACTCCACTGGTCACTGTTTCTCACTAGAACTAGACCTCAACTATTAAAATGTATCATTTATACTGTAAAATATATCTACTCTAAATAGAGATATACACATAGATAACAACAATCCATTGTCGTACAAAGTAAAATATCACATAACTGATCTCCCTTTTTTCATCTTCTTTCTCTTCTTTTTTTCTTTTTTTTTCTTTTTCAAGGAATAAAACCAACTGGAAATTATATTTTAATCCTTGGATCTGGGTTACTTCTTTTCATTGGAATTTTTTATGGATGAAAATGTTTGTTTGTTTTTTTACTTTTCTTTCTTCTTCTTCTTGTTGAAGATCATCATTACAACGATAGTTAATTATGATAATCATCAAAAACGAACTCTCTCACACACACACACACAAGACAGATTGTTTTAAATTGATTCTCATTACTAGAATTGAATTGGTAGCTATGCAATTTTATTTCATTTAACCGAATTATATTCACATGGACTTATTCATAGGTGAATATATATATCCATCTTTGTTACTATGGGAACTAAGCATTTCATTTTATTCAATAGAGTTTTTTTTTAGTTTATTATAATGAATTACCTACACTTTTCCTATTGAGAAACCCTTTTTAAATTACATCTAGTGTATGTTTACTTTTTCTCATGATCATATTGTAAAGTGAATTCATAAAATGTCTTGATTACATATATTTTTTCCACTGATGATGACAGATGATGATGTGCCTGTTACTCCCAATGGAGCATAGGCCGTCGGCCAGCATTTTTTTTTCTGGTTAGCGTTTCTTTAGCGAGTTGGTTTTCTACAGGATGAGGTCGCTAAACCCATGCCCAACCTTCCTCTTTTACCCGGGTTTGAGACCGGCAGTAGCCCCCGGAGGAGCTACAGGCGGAGTTATTTTTTTCACTATTCCATAGATATTTACCTCCATTTAATTTCTCAGGTTTTTTAAGTAAATCTATACTTTGTAAAAAAAAATTGTTTAATGAAGAAAAATCAATAATCATGCTCTTACATCATTGTAACAGATACTTATTTATTTGCTTAGTTACCAATGTCCGTTAACCCCCCCCTCACGAAGGAGTATAGCCCACCTACCAGCACATTGTAATAGACAAGTAGATTTTAAAAAGTATAAAGAAAAAAACTGTTCTTCTTTATTCAAGATATTCGTCTGTACTTCATCTCTCTTATTCTTCTTCATTCAAGAACTTCGTCTGTACTTCATCCGTCTTATTCTTCTTCATTCAAGAGATTCGTCTGTACTTCATCTCTCTTATTCTTCTTCATTCAAGAACTTCGTCTGTACTTCATCTCTCTTATTCTTCTTCATTCAAGAGATTCGTCTGTACTCCGTCTCTCTTATTCTTCTTCATTCAAGATATTCGTCTGTACTTCATCTCTCTTATTCTTCTTCATTCAAGAGATTCGTCTGTACTCCGTCTCTCTTATTCTTCTTCACTCAAGATATTCGTCTGTACTTCATCTCTCTTATTCTTCTTCTTCAACTGTCACATAATATGTTTAGTGAATAGTTCATCTTTGTAAAATGACTTCATAAATTTAGAGTGTAACAAAATATCAGTATTAATTCAATATTTCTTTTTGTTACCACTATATTGTTGGTGTTATTATTGATTCTTTAGACTAAATTAACCGCCTAAATTGATTTGGTAATTAAATGTTGTAAACGTATTAATCAATTTATCATTGTGTTGTTTTCTTTTTTCTCCTCATTTTTCCCTGTTTTTATTTACTACTAATAATAAACTACTAATATGGTTACAGTAAATATTGTTAATTTTAATATTTTCATAGTTGAAATCATGAGTCAATTTGAAGCTAGATCACCATGGGAAAACCTGTAAGCACTGAACGGCCGTTTCGTCCTATTATGGGACACCTCACCAGTGTGCATCCACGATCTCGTACCCGCGAGATTCGAACCCAGGACCCTACCAGCTTCGCCCCAGAGCACTTAATCGATAGACCACTGAGACGGCCGGAATCCAACGGTGTTAATGTCTAACTTCAACTGATCCACGAGATTGAGCAACCATTCACTAATTGTCTTCAATTAGTTGATATCTCTACAACAGACTTAGTTGAACTCGACTGATCACTGCTTGTCGAACGTTTAATAGACGAATGATCACATCTACTTGTTGCGATGTTTCTAAGTGTTTATATTTAGGTTTTTGTGACAGGTTTTCAGTAACAGCAGTAACATAATCCTCAAGTTGTTTATGTTCATCTAACGACAGTTCAAACAATGCATGACGTCTTGGAATTCTAGTTGCGATCTAGTTCAATTGATCGAGATTTAATAGGATTGATACAATTGAGTGCATGACGTTTGAGTGTTAGTGAAATGTAAGATCAATTTTTTAAAAAGTTGTATTAAAAGTAATGATTATCTTAAACTCTTCTGCAAGCCACTAAGATGAAACAACATTCATCCCAATGCAAACAAACACTCAAAACGTCATGCACTCAATTGTATCAATGCTATTAAATTTCGGTGAGTTGAACTAGATCTCTAAGAAGTCACACATTGTTTGAACTGTCGTTTGATGAGTATCAACGATTTGAAGATTATCTTACTAATGTTACTGAAAAAGTGTCACAAAAGAAATATCGGAACACGTAGACGTGATTAAGACGTTTCCAAGAACATCCCGAAAATGATGTATTTCATCATTCTACTATTGGATTCTAATATTGTTCAATAAAATGACAAAATTATTAATCAATTGACTTCTTGCTTTTTATAATCTCTTATTCATGAGAAGAATGTTTACTTTTAGACACATTAAAATGTATGTTCATCAATACTAATAGTAAATTGGAGACTGACCAGTTGCAGTCCTAAAAATATCAATAGGAAGGTCCAAACAAATAATACTAAGTAAATTTCAACTTCACCCCATTGCACAAGCAAGTGGCTATCAGGACTCAGTGGCCGAGTGGATAACGCGTTGGTGTTTGAAGCGAATGGTGCTGTGTTCGTGTTCCAGAGTAAACATCAAATCTGAGATGCAAGTACATGCATCTGACGAGTCCCAAATAGAACGAAACGCGTGTCCTAGATTCCACTGTTAGCCACTATCCATCTTTGCTTACAGTGCTTGTGAATTAAGACTATATGGAGACAATACGCAGAGTATGCACATATGCCAATAAGGGACTGACTAGTTGCCATCCTAAGCATCAATGGGAAGATCCAAACAAACAATACTAAGTAAATTTAAACTTATTATTGTAATGCACATTTTGTTTCTGTTCCTGAAAGCTAATAATTTCATGAGATTCTAGTTTAACTAATTACAAGCAGCGAACTAACTATTTAAAAATATTTTTATATGTTCATATGCCCCAAATGCCCTCGTATGGCTGACAGTGAGGAGAGTAAGCTCTCCCTCTCCAAATGCTTTCACATGGCCACGCGTATACAGCCTCTGCCACGGAAGTCCTACTCACTGCCTTCTCATGGCATTACTGTTGTTTAAGAAATTGAAAGGATGGAAAGCGAATGTCCGGTGCTTTAACCGGGTTGGTGGACACGGAAAATCCACCTAGAGGATTTGGGAAACCCTGATTCCAAACCAATGGAGCACATGGGCTGGCTCCAGTATACTGAAAGAACAAATTACGTATAAATCAATCGTTGGTCACCGAGTGCCATGGGACTGCATCTCCTCACGATGCTCCACTGTCTTGTGGATAAGATCTTTAGGTCAAAGGCTCCGGGTGTGGCCCCCTAAGAAAACCACCTGCTTTAGTTTGGGCACCTAGGCAGTATGATAGCCCTCACACAAATCAAATGATATTTGTGTGGCATATATGTATCTGGTGCCTCTTTGTACCCCTTCTGATATTAATATAGTGATTTATTGTTCCCTTATTATAAATCATCATAGATGGGTGTATATATAAAGACACTTTTCATGATTGTTCATTTTTTTAATTATTATTGCTTTTCTTTATTTTGATAATTAATTTCAGTAACCCCCCCCCCTCCTTTCTTTTCTTGATCAAAAAAAGGATTCATCAACATAATATCTAAGGAATATGGACTATTTTTTTTTTACTTTTTTTTCGTTCTATTTTAAGGTAATTCGACAATTTCAATTTTAAATCATAAAACATACAAAAAATTTTTTTAATTTTTTTTTATTTATTATCATGGAATCATGATAATTAAAATAAACTTGACCTAAATTAAACATTAAAGGTAAACAAATAATCACGCATATATAAATTAATAGTAATAATAATAAACAATTTATTTAATTTTATAGAGTTGAGATCATGAGTCAATTGAAGCTAGACTACCATGGAAAACCTGGAAGCACTGGACGGCCGTTTCGTCCTATTATGGGACTCCTCAGCAGTGCGCGTCCACGAACCCACTCTCGCGGGATCCGAACCCAGGACCTACCAGTTTCGAGCCGAAGCCCTTAACCGATAGACCACTGAGCTGGCATCCAACGGTGTTAATTTCTAACTTCAACTGATTCATGAAATTGAGCAACCATTCACCAATGTCATCAGTGAGTTCCTATCTCACAACAGACCTGGTTGAACTCCACCGGTTACTGCTTCTCACTAGAACTCCAGGAAATACCTCAAGGAGTCAGTCACTAGTGAGCACCTGATTATTATCAGAAGGGGTTTTGTGGAGATTTTAGTATTTTATAGAGTTGAGATCATGAGTCAATTGAAGCTAAACCATCATGGAAAACCTGGAAGCACCGGACGGCCGTTTCGTCCTATTGTGGGACTATTCAGCAGTGTACATCCACCACCTCGCCTCAAGAGATTCAAAACTAGGACTTATCAGTCTCGAGGCAGAGCATTTAACCGATAGACCACTCAGCCAACATCCCATAATATTTATGTCTAACTCCAACCAATCCACGAAGTTGAACAACCGTTCACCAATTGTCTTCAGTGAGTTGATATATCACAATAGACGTGGTTTGAACTCCACTGATTACTGCTTCTTATTAGAACTCCTGGATTTACCTCTCGAACTGAGTCACTAGTGAGCATATGATTATTATTATCAGAAGGGGTTTTGGTGAAGATTTAGTATTTTCATAGTTGAAAGCGTCAGTCAATTGAAGCTAGACGATCAGGGAGACCCACAATAGAACGAAACGTCAGTCCAGTGCTTCCAGGTTTTCCCTGGTTTTTCCGCTTTTAACTATGAAAATACTAAATCTCCACAAAAACCTTTTCTGATAATTTATTTAATGTTTTTCATCCAATACTTTTTTACATTAGCTCATTATTATTAGCTGTATTCTATATTGTATTTTTAGTACAATATAGAATTCTCAGCACAAAGTATTTCAACAAGTTTCCGTTTCTTATTTCCTGATCGATCCTGACGATACATATTGAGTGATCGCCAGTTAGATGTTAAAAGTTCAGGAATCTTACTTACTTGCACCTGTTACTCCCAATGGAGCGTAGGTCGCCGACCAGCATTCTACAACCCACTCTGTCCTGAGCCTTCCATTATAGTTCTGTCCAGTTTTGTTCATTTTTTATATGTCTGTCTCCATTTATGGGCGTAATGTGTTTTTCGGTCTTCCTTTTCTCATTTGACCTTCAGGATTCCATGTGAGGGCTTGTCTTGTGATGCAGTTGAGTGATTTCCTCAATGTGTGTCATATCCACTTCCAACGCTTCTTCCTGATTCCTTCCTCCACAGGATAGAATCTGGTTTGTTGTCTCCCACAGTAACTTGTTGCTGATAGTGTCTGGCCATCGGATCCGAAGTATCTTGTGTAGACAACTGTTAATAAACACTTGTATCTTCTGAATGATTGTTTTTGTAGTTCTCTACGTCTCCGCCCCATACAGACGTGGAGAACTACGAAAGCCATTATTCAGAAGATACAAGTGTTAATCAACAGTTGTCTACACAAGATACTTCGGATATGTTGGACAGACACTATCAGTAACAAGTTACTGTGGGAGACAACAAACCAGATTTCATCTTGTGGAGGAAGGAATCAGGAAGAAGCGCCGGAAGTGGATAGGGCACACTTTGAGGAAATTACCCAATTGTGTCACAGGACAAGCCCTTACATGGAATCCCGAAGGTGAAAGGAGAAGAGGAAGACCAAATAACACATTACACCGAGAAATGGAGACAAAAATGAGAAGAATGAGCAAAAATTGGATAGAACTATAAAGGAAGGCTCAGGACAGAGTGGGTTGTAGAATGCTGGTCGGCGGCCTATGCTCCATTGTGAGTAACAGGCGTAAGTAAGTAAGTAAGTAAGTAAGTAAGTAAGTAAGTAAGTAAGTAAGTAAGTAAGTAAGTAAGTAAGTAAGTAAGTAAGTAAGTAAGTAAGTAAGTAAGTAAGTAAGTAAGTAAGTAAGTAAGTAAGTAAGTAAGTAAGTAAGTAAGTAAGTAAGTAAGTAAGTAAGTAAGTAAGTAAGTAAGTAAGTAAGTAAGTAAGTAAGTAAGTAAGTAAGTAAGTAAGTAAGTAAGTAAGTAAGTAAGTAAGTAAGTAAGTAAGTAAGTAAGTAAGTAAGTAAGTAAGTAAGTAAGTAAGTAAGTAAGTAAGTAAGTAAGTAAGTAAGTAAGTAAGTAAGTAAGTAAGTAAGTAAGTAAGTAAGTAAGTAAGTAAGTAAGTAAGAAAATTGTCAAGATCCCCATGAAAGGCTTTTATTAGGCGGCTGTCCAAATGATATTCCAAACTAGATAAACTTTGATTTTAGGTTACCATAATTTATGTTTAGCACTTCGTTTACTTTTATGAATTAGGT